TTATCTCCCGAGGGGTCCCAGACTGCGAGAGGGCACAGGCCGGGCTGAAGGACCCCCCTTCCCCCCCGAGTGCACAAATTTTTGTGCACCGGGCCTCTAGTATATATATAAATAAAAATCACATTGAGAAAGTTGCTTTAAAAAAAAAAAGAAAATGGTAGAATTTGGATTTGAACTCAGGTCTGAATGGTTTCACAGTCCAGGTTTTTCCCTCTATATGACATTGCTTCATCCAAGGAGCATATCTGAAAAGCTTACCAAAAATGACATCCTGTCTTTTGATGACATCCTTCTCCTGCCTACTGCAAAACGAGGGGTCCACCACAAGACTCCAAGACTCAGCTTCAAACTCCTGGGCATCACTGCTGAGGTCACTCCACAGAGAAGAATCCACGACATCTAATGTGGTTTTGGAAAAGTCAAAAGTGGAGTAACATGTGAAACACAAACAGACCTTCACAAGTACCCACGTTTATGGATTCATCACACTAAATACTGTGCTATAAAGAGAAACAACTAAGCCAAAATACTGTTGATATGGAGTTGAAACATCTGAAAACCAAAACTGCGCTCATGAAAGCAAAGAATCAGATATTAACACAATGGTTGTGTATATACTAAAAAAAGGACATTTGAAGATTCTTTTGTTTGTTTGTTTTGGCTCGTTCTGTTTTAGTTTTAGTTTTACTTTTGGTAACCTTCAGAGTCCGTGCGTGCTTACAGAATCTTGAACACAGAATCTTTTGCCCTGGGCTGTTTTGCACTATTTACTCAAATTTGAATCTTGTTCTTGTCCACTTTATTTCCTCTTTACTTGGCTTGCTGTCCTTAATATAAACATGACACATGGTGTCAGGACTCAAGTCACGTGAGCACAAGAGTTTTCTGACAGAATTTGACAACACACACACACACCCTTCCAGAAAACAAAGTGCTGTTTGTCCAAATAGCACTCCTAAAAATGATTCCAGCTCAGAGCAATAAACATGACATGACAATGAATTTAAAGTCTTAAGTTTAAAATAAAAGAAACAGATTCCTGGGGCAGAGTCCACACCTTTCTCTTGTCACGACTCTCCTTTCATTTGGTTTTCTTTCACTTATTGACACAACTTGGATATAAGTAATTCCCCACATTAAGTCCTATCCTACAAAATATGCTCTTTAAAAAAATGTTTTTATTTCCTAAGAAGTGGGAGGCAACAGATGGCAATAAATATCCCAGAGTTCCAAGCAAGTCCTTTCTTAACTAATTGAAATATATCTTTTTAATCTATAATCCTATTTCAATTCTATTAATAGCTGTAAAACTTTTTAAAAGAATAACAAACACAATGTATGCCATTCTCATCATCATATTTATGACATATGTCCACTAAAAATTACATATTTCCTTGGTCACTCTATGAAAATCTTCTTTGGGTCTAAATTTTCTTTTTTTCCTTTCTTTCTCTCTTTCTTTCTTACTTTCTTTTTCTTTTTTTAAGAAAAACCTATAGCAAAGAGATACCATGAAACAGAATTCTTTTAAAAAGAACAAAGAATATTTTTTCAATCTTATATCCTTCAGAAAATATTCCTTTTGGCAAATGCTCACAGAAACACCAGTACATGCAAACATCTTTTTCTCACCTTCCATTAAGAAAGAATCCGTGGAGGGGGATGAGCCCATGGACTGTAAGAGCTCATCGGAATGAGACCTGCTTCTCCAGGCGTTCCCGTCACTCTCGGACTCCAAGGATGGGCCTGGCCTCCTGCAGTGGAGGGAGGGAGAAGAGTTAGCCCAACAGCGGCTCTGAGGTGAGAAGATGTAAAACCACATGGACTTACCTGTCCAAGGTGGTGCCGGGAACACTTCTGGACAATGGATGGGCCTGCCCCGGGGTGTCTTTCCTCCCAGCCGGCAATCCGATGGGCATGGAGGAAGAAGGGTGCAAGGAGAGACCAGCCAGGGGGACGTCTCTAAATGAAGAATCTGGAAATCAGAATGGATGCTTCATGTGTTTTCATAGAGGGCAGTAATTACGAGAAGTACAGGTAGTCGCTTAAAAGCCAGAAAGCTGAACACTCAATGGCCGCTTCTAGCATTTCGCATGCTCAGCCTGGAAACCAGTTCCCTCCACATCCCGACACCTGCTTCGAATGTCTCTTCCATGTCACACCCTCCTGACAGCAGGGCTGCAGGCCTGCTCCAGCACATCCACTTGGAGACTGTGGGCGGCTGGGATAACACAAACAAACAAGAAAATGGAACAGGGAAACACACCGGGGCAGCTTTCTCATAAACCACTGCTTGCACTCCCCAGAGCAGCTTCGAAGAGGCGCAACGTGTCATTAGCACTATGACTAGAATGCATAGTGTGTGTCTAAGCAAGCACACGCGCACACAGAGCCTGTCAATGGATTGGAATGATGCTGAGGAGTCTGTGTCTTTATGGTCTAAGAATTTCAGACAAATAAAAGCCAAGCTGAGCCCATGGACTGTAAAAGCTCATCGGAATGAGACCTGCTTCTCCGGGTCTCACATACTGAAAACTAAATAATGCTTCAGTGCCTTTCGAGTCAGTTCTAAAATGCTGTGGCCATAGGTGCGTTTACATTTGCTGGATACTATCTGTAACTCCGAGAAAATATTTAGTCCTATAATATAGCTGTCACATGCACCTTCTCAAGCAAAAGGGGGATATTACAAGGAATTTGACACACGCATGATTTAATGTTAGTCTTGTGACTCCCAAGTAAAGAGAGGGAATAGATGGTATTTTATTAATTTTAAGATGCTTTTTATTTTCACGCTTAACCTTATGAAAACGAGAAGTACCTTAAGGTCAGGTCAAAGGGACTCCTGGTGTCAGAACAGCCAGTTATTTATGTCACAATTGTACTGACTGCATTAGCTCAACCTTGTGTAACATCACCCCCAATCGCATGTCACCATGAAGATGCATACCTCCTTATCCCCTAATTCAAGGGGATTTAAAAACACGGGTCACACTTTGTTACAGCCTTGAAATGAAAAGGGACCACAAACTTAAAATGCAGATCATAGGGCAAACAACGCCATTTGAGGCAGAAAAAATTACTAATCTCTCACAACAAATCAAAGGATTTCAAACGTAAGAGATGATGGTATGGCTGGTTCTTGCATGCAATGTAAGGAACTGTCAAAAACTGCAATTATGTTCAGGAGAAATTGTTTAAATTTCACATATAATTCAAGAAAAAATAGAACCACCAAATCTAAAAATATGCAAACGAAACTTGGATAGACCTTAACATTTCACAGCCATTCTAGAGGAGCTAAGGAGATTCCAGCCTCAAGTACAATTAAGAAAAACACCAGGTTGTTATGGTAATAGAAAACAGAGAACGATAAGAATCTATAAATTCCAAACTTGAAGATTTCCCCCCCTTACCTTGTGATTCTTAAGAAGTGTGTGGTGTGTACTCTAATGCCTCGACCCTTTAATACAGTTCCTCATTTTGTGGTGACCCCCAACCATAAAATTATTTTTGTTGCTACTTCATAACTGTAATTTTGCTACTGTTATGAATCATAATGTAAATATCTGATATGCAGGATGTATTTTCATTGTTACAAATTGAACATAATTAAAGCATAGTGATTAATCACAAAAACAATATGTGATTATATATGTGTTTTCCGATGGTCTTAGGCCACCCCTGTGAAAGGGTCGTTCGACCCCCAAAGGGGTCGTGACCCACAGGTTGAGAACCGCTGCCCTAAAAGGTTATTAAATCAGTAGTGCATGTTATGCCAGATCGCATCTTAGAATTGAGGCAAAATCATAATACCTCCTCCATTTAGTCCTCCATAATATAAAAGATCATGACCTCCATGCTATACACGTGAAACTAATTCAGAATAACATCGAATGTAAACTGTAATTGAAAAAAATTTTTAAATCATACAGTAATGTAGTACAAAGGCTTTTAGGTTGCCATAGAAGTTTACACCATTCTTGATCTCTTTGTATACTAGTAACTAAAAATTATGTCAAGCATTTGTTCTGAAAGAAGAAATAATTGGGCAAATGAGAAAGCAAAAGTTGGGGGTATTTTACATTGGAAAAATGTGTGGAATGTATGAAATTGGAAAAGTTCTAGTTTTCCACATCACTTACTTCCAAGGATGGTCTGTGGTTTGTTCTTGTTATATTTCTCTTGGAATTTCTGGTAAAGAACATCAGAAACACATAAAATAAGATCAAAGCACCAATGAACTACAAGAATGTCCACACAGTTAGTACACAGGATAGGATTCTTATCACATCATTTTCATTATTTCAAAGAGGAATTCAAAGCAAAAGACATTAAAGGCAGCAAAGAAAAATGTTATGATAATGAGATGCTAAGTTATAATGAATGTGTGCTTCATGAACGTGAGTCTCATGAATATCCCAGCTTTATTAAAAGCCTAGAGCAGTGGTTCTCAACCTTCCTAATGCCGCGACCCTTTAATACAGTTCCTCATGTTGTGGTGACCCCCAACCATAAAATTATTTTTGTTGCTACTTCATAACTGTAATTTTGCTACTGTTATGAATCATAATGTAAATATCTGATATGCAGGATGTATTTTCATTGTTACAAATTGAACATAATTAAAGCATAGTGATTAATCACAAAAACAATATGTAATTATATATGTGTTTTCTGATGGTCTTAGGCGACCCCTGTGAAAGGGTCGTTGGACCCCCAAAGGGGTCGCGACCCACAGATAGAGAACCGCTGGCCTAAAGGAACCAGAAACCACTAGCTCGTGTGTCCAGACTTGGGCTGAAAGGGGAGTTCCTATCAGCTATGCCTTTCTCCCACTTGTTTCTTTCTATCCTGGCTATTCCTCCTGCCTACAGGACATAACATAACTTTGCACAATGAAACGTTGCCCTCAACTCTGTGGCCTGACACAGCGTGTGATGCAGTTAACATGGAGGTTGTGACTCCAAGTTTCCCTCTGAAAGATCATTGTGCTTTCTTACATGCATTCCTGACATGTCTTCAAAATGGGAAGGAAAGGCATAGAATGACAGGTGCCCATCTACTCAAGCCCACCCCCAAACACAGAGAACACTCTTCCCGTCCCACGAGCCTCTCAGCATAGTCCCGGGACCACCATCATCTCTGGGAAACTTGTTAGAAATGCACATTCTCAGGTCCAACCCAGACCTACTGGGTCAGAAATTCTGGAAGTGGTGCCCAGAAATCTGTGTTTTAACAAGTCCTACAGGTGACTCTGATGGTGTTTGATGTGTGAGAATTACTGCTCTAGGCTTCATTTACATATAACCAGGGTTCACACTGGTAAACCAAGCAGGTTCCAGGAGAAAGGCAGACCCACTCGCACTGCCTAACACTGATGGCCACACCGCGCTTTCCCGCTCGCTCTGAGAGCACACAGCGAAGGGAATAACCCTACACTTGGAGCATGTGTGACTATATTGTTGCAGTGATCATTCTAGAAATAAATCTAGACAATAAGAGAAGAGTCACAGCCTAAACAGATAATATGAAGCAACCGAGCCAGATAGAAACACGCACATGCACAGATGACAGCGGTTACCTTGGGACATGGAGGTGCAGCATCTTTACAACCTTTATGTACATTTGCAGTACAGCCTGTAACAAAGGGAGGAGATAGAAAGGTGTCTGTCTTATTTAAGGTAATCAGAAATGAACAGGACGACATCGTGGTTTTACTGGTCATTATGAAATAGCACATTCACATTAAAAATATTTAGGAAACATAAGGGAAAAAATACTAAATGATGTGGAGCCCTACCACTCAAGCACAAGCACACTGCTAATTGTTTCATTTCCTTGGAGATACTGTTCTCCTTTTGCAGAGGGACTCATCCATTATGACACCTAGAGTTACGCATGGCATACACTTCTGTGCCTGCCTGAGAACCCGTTTGCTATTATCTGCCTATATTGTAAGCAATTTCTGACATCTGGCTGGTAGCAACTGCCCCCTCCCACACCAGGTAGAATGCCTATGGAAATGGAAAGAAAAACTCAACCATCACTGAGAAAAAAATATGTCATCGGCTCCGACAGGAATGCTTACTAACCAGAGGTAGCCAAACTAAAAGAGAAAAGTGAGTGGCCTGCCTGTGTTTTCCTCCAAGAAACAATGTGGCCTCATCTCCCTGAAAGAAGTAAGGGAACACCTTGCCTGCCCCTTTCTGCCAACTGGCTCAGAGACCCAAGTCGTCCTCACAGAAAACTGCCCCTGCGTGGGGACTGCTTCCTGCCAGGCTGCTGTCTCCCTGCCCTCTCTCCCCTCCCACTCGCCAGGGCCACCCTGTCCCACCCACCCCCATGCCCTGTGTAGATGCAGGAACCTGTGGCTTATCAGAAGCTTCATGAGAAAGAATTATCCCATCCATTTAGGTCCATCAAAGCCACACTGTGCAGGAGGTTGAACCCAACCACCCTCCCACCTGTGGGTCTACAGAGGCATTTCAGCCAACACCTCAGCGGGCAGTAAGCAGGGCCCAGGCTGACCCGCAAGCTGGTCCTGCTGGCAAACATGGAAACCGGAGGCTCTCTCCTCATTCCAGAATAAGCAAATAAAAAAAGTTAAAGAAAAAAAGAAGCTGTGAGCTACCCCAGCACAAAATTATACTGAAAACAAACAGGCAGCGTGAGCCACAGAGTATTATTAAATCCAGAAGGAGAGAAATTTTTAGGTATTTTGAATGTATTCTCCCGAAGAGACATGAAATAGGACCAAACGGCCATGAAGGAGGGAGATGTGAGGGTCGCCGGCAGCAGGAGAGGAAGACGAGCTTTGTGAGATGAGACAGGACTGCAAGGAGGGAGGTCGAGAGCAGAATGTGAACCGGGTGTGAAGAATCAATGTGACAGAAACATCAAAGCAGCACCTTGAAATTAAACTTGAAAGGTTTCCTCCAGAATGTGGAGAAAAAGCAGGGTATAATTATAAAATAGAAGGTGTCATACAAAAAAAGACAGATAACAGAGATCACACTTCTCCAAGGAAAAAATCTGAAAAACTAGATCAGAAGCAATAGTCAAAGCGACAACTGACAAAAACTTCTTTTAAAGCTAACAACCCCCTCCCCCCCAAAAAAAGACAGATCAAAAGCTCTCACTGTTTCCTAGAAAAAATAATTAAATGACACCTATTCCATAGAAACATTCTGACGACATCTGTATGATTAAAAATTGAAAAGTCCTCAAGTAGACAAAGCAGGTCACCCACAAAGGAATAAGGTCAAGCAGGCCCCAGATTTTTCTGCTACAATTTTAAATGCTCAGATAGAGTGGACCAGTGTTGACAGAGTATTGAGGTGGAAACATTTGGCCTAAGAACTTGGCCAGATAAATTGCTTTTTGTGTGTGAAAGAAGCAAAGATACACCCTTAGATATACAAGATTTCAGAAAACAGACCACTCCAATAACCTTCTTAAGAAAGGTATTAAGAGCAGAATCAAAACTAAGAGTTCAGAAATAAATCAGATTTTTTTAAAGGAGCAAATTGAGCACTGGAACCATCTAAACAAAGAACCGCAGCTAAAAAATTGTTGTAAGTAGAGACACAGAGCTGAATACAAATATCAAATTAGTCTTGAAATAGAAAACTATTTCTGAAAGATTATACCCATAATATAAAAACAATAATTTAATGATGAATTAGTATACTAACAGAGGCTAGGGGTAAAAAGGGTAAATAGAAGGGAAATAAAAGAGTATGTAATTATAAGACTTTCATTATAAGCCCTAAAGTTAGTATTAATAGATAATAAAAGAGCATATCTGCTTGCCAAATCTATGAAAAAGATAAAAGCAAATGGCTAAACCAGACGTTAAGGAAAATAGCATAGAACTATAAAAGCTAGCTGATAGCTGTAAATGCAAATTAGAAAAAAAATGCTATAAAACAAGGCCTCTCCGTTACATTACAGAGCACCTATACCCAAAATGAAGATGCACACCCCAAATCAAGACCACAGAGTTAGGTAAGGGAAATACAAAGGAAAGGAAAGCAAGAGGAATGTAAACTTTAAACAAAGTAAAATTTGATGCAAAAGGCATTTAATGGCATTAGAAATTAATTTTATGTTGATGAAAGTAAAATCCGCAATGAAGGTAACATCAAAATATAAGCAGTACAATCTATTTATAAACAAGGAAAATCTTATAAAAATACAATTTTCATGAAAAACTAACAACTCAGGCTTTAACAAAAAAAAATTACGGACACCAGGATTTTTTAAAATATATTTTTAATGATTTTAGAGAAGAAGGGAGAGGGAGAGAGAGATAGAAACATCAATGATGAGAGAGAATCATTGATCGGCTGCCTCCTGCACATCCCCTACTAGGGATGGAGCCTGCAACCCAGGCATGTGCCCTTGACCAGAATCAAACCTGGGACCCTTCAGTCTGCAGGCTGACGCTCTATCCACTGAGCCAAATCAGCTAGGGCCACCAGGATTCTCAATATTTACATGATATTTTGTTTCACATCATATTTTTAAGATTAGAAATACTAACTTTCACGATTAAAAACAAAAATACACCAATGAAATAGGATTATTTATCAAAAACAGCAGAGATTGGACATGTCATAGTCTCTTATCCAATGTAAAAAAAAACTTAATGTTAATATGAAGTTTAAAACTCTAATACTCCCCACCCCCAAAACTGTAAATCTTAAAACTTCTAAAAAACTGTGGGTTAAAAAGGAAATCAAATGTATATTCATACTGATTCTAGAATTTAATCTAAGGCAATAATCAAAGATGTGTACAGTTATATGTGCAACATTATGCTGGGAAAAACTTAAATGTACACTAAGTAAGGAATAACTTAGTACATGTGATAGCATCCTCAAATAAAACATGAGCATAACAAGCTGACTCTTTTTACTAGAAGGGACTCCATCAAAATATTAGGTAGCAATGTTCTCTAGGTGGTAAATTTTGGATAACTCCAAGCTTCTCCTTAAACCTTATATCTTCTATGAATTTTATTACATTTAAAAAATTGACTACTTTAAAAGCTGAACATATCCTATTATGTACTTTCAGCAATTTCCATCTTCCACTAAGATTTCCATGGCAACTCAGTATGAACCTACATATTCTATACTACAAAAGTTTACTTTTCAGCAAGTCCTGGCTCCCTAACATGCATTAATTACTTCTGAGTATCTAACTCAGGGGTCCTCAAACTACGGCCCGCGGGCCACATGCAAATACAAATATTGTATTTGTTCTCATTTTGTTTTTTTACTTCAAAATAAGATATGTGCTGTGTGCATAGGAATTTGTTCATAGTTTTTTTTTAAACTATAGTCCGGCCCTCCAATGGTCTGAGGGACAGTGAACTGGCTCCCTGTTTAAAAAGTTTGAGGACCTCTGATCTAACTAGATATTATTAATTATATATTAACTACATATGAGTGTCTAAGGGCCCAACTTAGTGATGGCTGCTGTAGGGGATATAAAAGAATTGTGTGATTATAGTCCTTAAATAACTTAAAGTCCATTTTAGTAGTTAAAAACCAAAAGAGGTTGTACATAACCCAGTATTAAAAAGAATAGACAAAATAGGTCATAAACGTGATGTGTAAGAATTTAGGCCACAGCAGTCAGGGATGATTTCCAAAACGAGGTGAGAAATGTGGACTGACATAGAGAAGGGGAAACTGAGAGAAGGGAGGTTATAATCATAAGTGAAGGAACAGAGGCAGGAAAACCCACGGGAAGGGAGAAGAGGACAGCAGGCCCGGGTCGGCCCCTGGCTGTAAGGCTGAAAGGGGAACTAACCTTGGACTGGCCAGCAGGAGGCAGACCAGGAACCACAGGCATCAGAAGAGGTTGGGCTTAGTCCACTAAACAAAAATGAGAGAAGTTCTTTTGTGTATGTGGGCTGATGAAAGTGGTGTTGTACAAAGACTGATGTAAGTGTATTCAGAATAAACTGTACGTGAAAATACCTGGAGAGGGAAACGAGTGCAATTTGCTCTCAGCAGTCCCAAAGAGGGTGATGAGAATGTACCTGAGTGGTCCCAGGGAGACAGGAAAGGAAAGAGTGATGGGGGTATGTGGGGACTGGGGTGAGGTGGGGAGACAAAGGGGAAGAGGAGTCAAGGTGCCCACGGTCTGAGCTTGTACCATTAGTGCAGCAAGAAGGACGACCTTTCACATGAAACCTCTGGGTAGTGATGCCCACAGCGACAGTCACCCTGAGCCAGTGTGACTGGGACAGTCTTGGTTTATTATCCCTGTAGCTCTTCCATACTCTCCAAAGTGGCCACAAACTACCTGATTGCTCAGTCTCTCTAGGCAGCTGTAAATATGGAAGTAGAAAGTGAGGGATAAAGACATTAATCTGGGAAGATTAGGCCTAGCTATCATATTTTAGAACAAATGATTGCACGACTATTAACACAGAAACAATTGGGGGCGGGGTGGTGAACAAATGCGTAAGAACTGAGTTTGGAGGGCCCCAGGACAAAGGAGACGACACCCGTGGTAAACAGGAGGGAAGCTGCCATGGAAAAGAGAATGTTTACCTAAATGGAGGGGCAATCGACGGGAGCACAGACTCTCAGACCTGACTAGAAAGTGATGCCAAGTTTCCGCCAAAAGCAGGACTTCTGTTAAATACTAAAGACAGAGGCCAAAATGCAGGTGGCTAAGGAAGAAGTGGCAGGGAAAGACATCAGAGCGGTGAGTGCAGATCACCCCCTGGAGGAGTTTACCTTAAAATGAGGGGAGAGAAAGATGGTGATGTGGATGATGGATCCATCGTGGGGATCGGCCTTGTGAACAGCGTGGACTGACACCCTAGGAAATGGGTGCTGTCACACCCACTTATAACCGACTGCTGACAGGCAGGCAAGCCAGAAACAATCCGCAGCAATACTTACAGCAAATTTCTAAAGAAATTAGCAACTTAAATCACATCTGAACTGCTTGATGCTATTTCAGATCCCATAAAAGAAAGAAATCAAGTATTTGCCAAGGAAAGCAAAGCTCAAGCCCGTGTAGAGCTGGTGTCATCAAATACTGTCAACAGTGCAGAGAAAATGGAAGCTGCCTTTCATGCCGTGTGTGGATGGTCTTTTCCTGAGATGTACAACTATCAATACAGTTTGATTCTTAATGGAATCATTTCCTAGGAATTTAAAGAGAAACTCACATGGAAACGTTCCCCTGCTCTTCTCTCTCCCTATGCTCCCATCCCACTCCCATGCAGCCCCCTAACTCTGGCCACCAACAAATATCATAAAATGCATTTCACCTGCCTGGGCCTCAATCCTTTGGCTCTGAATAATTCTTTCACTCCACAAATATTTACTAAGCCGCTATTCACAAGGCATTGGCTCTGGGCACTGTGGGTGCCATTAACGAAGAGGGTCAGCTTGAAGGTGGGCACGGGAGAGGCAGAACAGAGCTCTGTTTTGGACATGTAACATTTGAGAAGTTTCTAGACACCCAAGTGGAGACATTAAGTTGGCAGTAATATATGTAGTTTGGGTTCTGGAAGGTTATGGATAAAAAGTACTGACTCGAACCATCGTGGGTCATTCTTGTTAAGTCGTTAAATCGTATGTGCAGCACTAAAGCAAACGTCCATGTGAATATGCTTAGCAATGACCCTGGCCTCAGGGATCTTACTGTCTGGGGAAGCAAAGCATAAAGACACTGTGTACAAGGCCCAAGAACTTACTGGAACACTGAAACGACTCTTTCCCCAGGAGCGTTTTATCACAAACCAAACACTGTAGAACTCCAGAGGAAGTTCCAGGGACAAATTGATGTCGACTCAGCTTCTCTTTGTCTTTGGCATCCTTGCTTTTTGTCTTCAGATAGAGCAGCAGCAGCAGCAGCAGAAAAACGGGGGGAAATGAGAAAAGAGAAATGCTGAGAGCCAACATCTTAGAGAAGTCATACAAAGTCCCTACGTTTCTATCAGAATATAAGGACTGTAATCAACAGGTACAATGATGCCAACATGTATTATTACCCAGAATGTAGTTGTCTTAGCATTTCTGATGACTTAGGCCAGTGGTCCGCAAACTGCGGCTCGCGAGCCACATGAGGCTCTTTGGCCCCTTGAGTGTGGCTCTTCCTAAGCCTTAGGAGTACCCTAATTAAGTTAATAACAATGTACCTACCTATATTGTTTAAGTTTAAAAAATTTGGCTCTCAAGAGAAATTTCAATCGTTGTACTGTTGATATTTGGCTCTGTTGACTAATGAGTTTGCCGACCACTGACTTAGGCAATGCTCCATATAAAACATACAGGTTTTCAAGTATGTGTAAAATCTGAGGTAAATGATTTTAAAGGGGGAGGGGAAACTATACTAATTGCTGAGAAACTGAGCCATCTATGTTTCTGCATGATAGGCACCAAACCTTAACTACCTTAGATTTATTCCGAGGGCTAGTCATCCGATTCATGATGAAGCTGAAAGTTCGGCTCACTTTGTACTTTTCAGAATCCGATTTGGCAGGTATGATGTATTTGTCCCATTCTTCTTCCGGAATTCTACAAAAATAATCTGTATTCATTCATGGCTTATAGGATTTAAAGAGGGAGTCAAATACAGCATATGCTTTTACACATATAAATTTATCCGTGTTTTGTACATATATTTACACATATAGATTTCAGTTTTAATTGTTATTCTAAAGATAAAGATAGAAACTATTAAAAATATATCTTATAGATGGGTAGGTAGATAGATAAAGCAACTAGCTCACAGACTAACAACTAACAATTACAGAATATAAGTGGTAGAGGTAGGTATTCAGTATATAATTCTTTCCATTTTTCTGTATACTTTACACTTTTTCATAATAAAATACTGGAGAAACAAAGGATAACTCAGACTTGTAATTTTACTCTGAAAATCATCTCTCTGTTTATTATACTAACAGAATTTTCCTCCAACACAGAGAAGCCAAAAAACCAACAATAAAAAACTGTATTTTCTGTATTTTTGGAACATAGAGATAATACTCAGCAGACAGATATTTCCTTTGTCAATACAGCCTGAGAAACAGGCTGTCTGCCTCCTGATTCCATCTCTCCTACTCAGTCAGGCTATTTGCAACCTGAAACTCTCTAGATTACAAAGGAGAGAAAACTGTGGATACCCCCCCAAATAAGAGGCAAGCTAGAGGCAATTGTACCCAATCCATGAACACACTGAACATCATTTATTTACCTCTAATCCATATAATCATTCTTTATGAAAAATAAGTCCCAGCTATGAAAAATGATATTTCCCCTGGAACTTTCTCTGATAGTCTTATATTTCTAATATATAACAGAGAAAGAGAGAATATGTTAAATATCAACCTAAGTATATATCTTGTCAAACCAGATAACACTTTTGTAGACCGAGTATTTCCAAAATAAAGATTTCATATCCAAAGTCTTTCCTACCGGACCACCCCTCCCCACCGCCAAACAACAACAACAAAAACCCACAAAAAACCTTCTCATTTGTGACGATTAGTGGTTAACACATTCAACTCTGGGAAATACTTTCGAAAGCAATCATATTACTGATATGCACCAAAATATACATGATTACTTTCGTGAAAATAAATTCAATGACAACTTTCTAGGACTTGAGTTTTCTCATCTGATCAATGACAGGCTTAAACTAAATTATTTCTAAGGGCCCTTCTCACACTTAAATATAAAATGTATTTACCTGGTACATATTAAACAAAACTTTAAGTTATTTAACCTCTATACTAGATAATGGAGAGTTCAAACTTATGAACGTGTGTATTTTTAAATAAATAAATGGCTTCAGAGCTGCCTCTTGGTCATGCAGATCCAAAGGCATAGTCAGGACAGTGTCCTGCTTTTCAAATCCTGCACAGTAAGTGAAACTGGGTTTGCCACTTAGAACAGTTGAAAAAGCCAGAAAGGAAAGAGGGTGAGTAGAAATGAATGTATCCTACAACTGCTCAGAGTAACAAAAAGGAACTCAGATCCTATTATTTCCTTTCTACTTCACAGCCACTTCCTTAGATAACTGACTGATGAATATAACCTGTAAAATTCCATACCTCTTATGTCTTAAGCATCCTAATTTTCAAAACTCATGGTATAATATTCAACAGGCTCACTTTGGGAGAAAAACACATTTGAGTCACAAAAGGTGCCACCCACTACCTAAGAGAACAGTAGTAAGCTGAGTAGACTAAATCTCAGAATTAAAGAATGGTGAGATGTGAGGTCAATGTGGATTTTGAACTCAAGAAGTCCTCTCTTCTCCTTCCCAGCAGGAACACAACTAAACTCTCTCAAATAAAAGAAAATATGTACCCAACTATATCCCAAATCACCATGCTACAGAAGAGAATATCAAGAACAACGTTTCAGTTTTTATTTAAAAAGTATACATGCATCACAATTTACCATGTATTCTACATACTTCTACAAAATTACGTAAAATTATACCACTTAACTTTTAAGCTCAAAGGCTGATAAGGCCTCAGACATGATCATGTAAACAATAATAATCTATATAACAAGTAAGTACTGTAGTGAAGAACTGAGAAGGGCAAGATCCTCAACTGATTTCACAACAGAATTTAAATAGCTTTCAATTTATAAGAATCTTGGGGGAAATAATTTAAACTCTTTCAACATCCCAGAACAAGAATGCCTAAGCTCTATTATCAATTTGATGCCCAGTGGAATCATCCACAGTAAAGTTCTACAAGCTCCATTCTTCAGAGTCTCTTGGTATTGCCTTTTTAATTGGTAAGTAGATATTTAAAATATCTAAAGAACATCTTAATCCTAATTTATTATATCTATAACCTATTTTTGAAATTAAAACTGGGCATCTAAATGTTAAAAAGTTCTCACTATCCAAATTGAAAGTTGACACAGTGTGACTTCTTTGAACACTCAACTGCTCAAAAATTTTCTTAATAGAAAGTAACAGATGCAGTAAATTTAAGACAGATGGTGGCAATAAAATAAGTGAGTCATGCCATACAGCGTTTAAGAAGTTAGGATAGGTAGTGTGTCAGCTCTGCAGAAATGAGCCTGCAAGGTCTGGAGTGAGCTCCCCATTTACCTGGCTGCATTCAGAAATGAAGTGATTAATATACATAAAAATGCCAGTGTAGGAGGACCCTCAAGTAAATATGTACATCATGAGCAAAGCAAACCACAGGTATGGCCAGGGCTCTTCCTGGCATATCCAACAAGATATCAGGAACAGAACAGGTGAGATAAAATATCTACTCTACTAGATACACCAGGGCAGCGATTTTCAACCAATGTGCCACCGAAATTTCTAAAACATGCAATGCTTGACTATTTAGTCAGAGACACTGACCTCTTTTCCCTTGGACTACCAAATTAAAAAAAAAAATGACAACAGCCAACAATATATCCATCCAGTGTGAATGAATCAAAATTTTACCAGATTGGCAAAAAATATATGTTTTTCATGTGCCACAGAATTTAAGGAATCAGTTTGTGTACCAGGAGCTGGAAAAGGTTGAAAATCGCTGCACTAAGGGATATGACTGAGAAAGTCAGATGCTTTCAGGATGTGGATTAGGGGGCAATAAAGAATAGAAAGAATAAAAAACAGAATGACAGAAAATGTGGAAAAACATTGGTTTTTCTAGCCTTAAATCCCTCCCTCTCCTAATGAAAAATAAATGTTTTATTTAAAAAATCTTGACAATCAGTCCAGTACTTCTTCAATTGTGAGAAATATGGCAGAAGGAAGACTGCTAATCAAAATGACAACCAAGATGATGAAAAAATTCCAGAATTAGTAAATTGCTCAAAAGGAGTAATAAAGTAAGCAGCTCCAAATGGCACAAACCACAAAAAAAACACACCCAATAATGGTCAGTTATTCTGCTCCTGCCATCATCATCATCATTGCCATACTGCCATCTTCCTCAGCTTCCTGTTCTTAAAGGGCATTCTTAGTCTTCCTCTGGTTTTCTCAGCTCAAAGTTTCTATTTTGGTCTCAAAATATAAGAATAAACAAAAGGAGGCTTTTCCTTATTAATACTTTTATTCCAAGACTTAAATCACAATAGTCTACCTTGATCTATATAGTAAAAGGTTTCAGAGTTTCAGCATTAATATCACCAAAATTAAAACCATTTTCTCTTTTTCATATGTTCTCTTAATGCCAAACATTTCTGCCATTTCTGACATAACCCCAGGCTATTTCACAGTGGGGCTCACGCATGGTTAGTTACTTGAGGCCAAAAGAACTCAAAGTCTTGCCTGCTCCCTAGTCAACTTCCCAAACTCCAATTGACAGTTATTTGGGGGAGGAGGAGGAGAGGTGCTTAGGCACAAAGCTTTCAAATCTGCATATCAATTAGAAAACTGATGATGTTTAAAGCACTTTCAACATTATGTGTTCTTTGTTTCAAACTTAGCACTCCTACACACTGCTCCCTACAGACAGGTAACAGATGTTTAGGCACTTTCTATAACTGACCGCCCAGGACCTGTTGTCATAGTAAATAAAGCTTCTTGTCATGGCGGGCCTACCTAGCCAAATCCTGATGCCTTTCTATTTTCTTTCCTTTTTAAAAAAATAATAATAATTTTAGAGAGAGAGAGAGGAAAGGAGGGAGAAAGAAACATAGATTTGTTGTTCCACTCATTTATGCATTCATTGGTTGCTTTTTGTATATGCCCTGACCGAGGATTGAACCTGCAACCTTGGCGTTCAGGATGATGCTCTAACCAAGTAAGCTAGCAGACCAGGGCCCAATGCCTTTCTAAAGCAGGTGGTCCTCACACTGCTCCCCGTGGTCCTATATGCTATAAGTGTTTGGCTTTGACAATAACCCAATAGAATACTCTGTCCCCAGTCTGGAGGCCTGCACATCTGGGGACTGAAAGGAGCAGCTAGTCAGCTATACAGATCACAAAGGAAGCCAAGGATTCAGGCAGGCCCATTGCATAGAAACTTCACAAACCATTAAACAAGTATCCAAAATGATGTGCACACATTTCCAAAGGTGGACCGAGCAGTGCCTCCGGAAATTTGGAACAGTTAAAATACCTTTTTTCTTCTGGTGGCTCTGGTAAACTGTACGCTCTTTGCTCTAAAAGACACAGAAAATAAAATGAAAACCAAGGCAGACAAGCTAGCAGTCACGTGTTAGTCTGAAATGCACACACTCCACCCTATTCTGTCATTATGTATACACCACCAGTTATGAGAAAATACGTCACTTTATATAAGTAGGTCATTGCTCTGGGTATCTTTACCACTTTCCTAGTTTGGAGGGAATGGGGAAGAGGCCAAAACATGGCAACAGTTAACGATTCTATGAACAAAGTTAGCATCAGCAAGGGCAGCAAATGTTTTCAGAAGTGCAGAAAACCAGTTCTATCTTTTTTTTATATTTCTCACCAGAGCTTCATCCCTTATTTGTAACACTAATTTCCCAACATACAGAATCAATAGATGCCTTAGCTATTTTTTTAAGCAAAGCTAAAAAGAAAGTCTTGAAGGCCAGTCTAAGAAAGAGCCCATTTGAATAGATCTGCAATGCCTTTACAAAATCCTAGCAGCAGCCAGTTCAGAGATGCGCCTTGTGGCTTATGGGAAAGGGAAGACCACCTGTCCCATTGGACTTCTGGGGGGTAGAAGGACAGGCTCATGCAAGCAGCTCAGCGCCATCTGGTTTTCGGAAGGAACTGGAGTACTTACTACAGGGATGGAGCAGAGCCACTGATTTAGACAGTGAGAGAGACTGATGGAGGGAGCGGCCACTGTGGAGCACACCATCTACAGAGCAGGGACAAATCCTTTACCATTACAATCCAGAAGCTTGAAGAGGCAAAACTAAATTGCAAAGAAGATGGGCCAGGTATGTAAGAAGGATCACTAATAAATACATATCCCTGAAATGTGTAAATATCGATGCCGAACCTTATTCTATCTTGTAGGTAACATAAAATCTTCTTTGAAGAATTTGAAGACTTTATTTTATCGCTATTAAATGTTCCACAAATTAATTCCTGGGTAGAAATCAGTATCTTTCTTGTAAATAGGCTGAGGTACAAGAGGTACCAAGAGAATAAAGCTTCTTATCCAAAATAATCGAGCTAATAAGGTAACAGAACCAGACTCAGCCAACTGGACAAAGTCTAAAAAGATTCCATCCATCAGTGCACAGTCATTTCCAAAAGTACATTTAGTTCACTCCTCAGATGCCTAAGTGTAGAACACTTTTGTCCATCTTGGTAAGGTTATAATTATCATCACAATATTGACAATGTCCCTTTCTATCTAAACCTATGATGTACCAAAGGGAATTATGTAAAGGGTTGGATTTTATGTCTACAAGCATTAAGTGATAAAGTTGCTGCCATTGTACTCTTGGCTCAAAAAAAAAAGGGGGTGGGGATGAGACATGACAATAGTAGCCCTTTGGAAGTGACAAGGAAGAGAGATCACAAATAAAAATAGAAAGGGCAAAAGGCCATCCTATCTTTATATAACTGTATTACAGCTCATATACGGGAGTTTTCACTGGGGCAAAAGGAGAATCGGAGTCTATTGAAATAGAGAAAATGTTTAGGACTACTCAAAACTCACTGAGAGAAGATTTCTAACACCACAAATATCAATTTACCCTTAATTAAGCAAACTAAACACTGAAAATTAGAATACATCTTTGAACTGGTCACGTTTTCACACCTGTGCTTTGGTCACAGTTAAAAGTACTCCTTCCTTAAGAGTTAATTTATTCTTCATAATCCAATAGTTGTGGCTAAGATAAATGGTGTCAATCCAAACATTTGCCACCATACAGGAGTATCTGTTGGAATCTATACATTTAGTGTGTAGCCTTAATCTAAATTACCTGTTTGTAATTCTTAACTTTTGGAGAATATCAAACTTCGTTCAAATAGCCTTGTTTTAAAATATACTGTCTAAAGATAAGCTTTTATTCACAGAAAAACCAAAGGATGTGAGTTTTTATTCTTCCTAATTCAAATGCCAAGAGTTAAAGATTGTATGTTAGGCAGAGATACCCTTCCTTATTCATTGAAGAATTCACAAGGGAGGGCTCTTTCCCCTTATAAATAATAAATTTCCTCTTAGTCATCTGCTCAACAATTTCAAACTTGAAAGGGTCTGACTTGGAAAATCAGGGATATTTCAGATATAAAGACAAGGCCGCCATTTTGCACATTTCATAGAAGACTTAAAGGTGTTTTCCAAATAGCTATGGTATAAAGTGAATTCGTTACCTAGGACTCTGAGTGCAAAGTTATCAAGCTACCATTAAGAGGACTCCCAACCTAAACTAAAATTAGGTAAAGCTGGAGATCTTAGAAATACTCATGTTATTAAAATAAAATAAAAAAAAATCCAGGGCAAATTCAATCCATCTTTTCCTGTCCTCTAAAGAATAATTGTACCCCTTTCTTCTCTTAGTTCTTTTCTCTATCTTCCCATTCCAAAAATTAACATGGACAACATATGAGTAGTCTTGCTTTCTTCTCTTCCAAAAGACTTCCCAGAAAGGGCGACAGCGGTTGGGGGAGGGGGGAGTGGAGGGGGGACCGCGCAGGGGGCACACCTAGTAACACTTGTTTTGTATTTGAAGTATCTTGACTACCATATTTGTTCAACAAATATTTATTGAATATCTTCCATACCTAAGGCCGTGTTTAGGATGGGAGTTCCAAGCACAAAGATTATGCTTACAATACTATTCTACATAGCATAAAATGCAAAACAGCAATGTAATAAAGAATTTTAAAAGGAAAGAAAAGGTGTAAAACAAATCCTATTTTAAATATTCTACACTGAGAAGTTGAGAGTACTTAAGCACATCTCTTGTTTTCTGAATCTTTTAAGATTCTTAAGGATAACCCAAAAAAGCATTATCTAATACATTGACAAAAATTTTATTATAATGCTATATATTACAGAGTAGCATGAACACTTCCAAATATGTCTTGAAATGCAATTTTTACATAATATATTATGTACAGAAGTATGAAATAATTACATTTCAAAATCAAGTTGAAAATGGGCACAGTCACTGAGAGGGGCTACCAGGGCAGCTCTGAGTTACCTGTAATTGCTCTATTTCTTTATCTGAATTCACTTTTAAAAGTTCATCAAACTATATGCTTATAATTTACACCCTTTTCTATAGGTATACTATATTTAAATTAAAATGTCATTGCATAAAAGTTACATTTCTGAATGCTTAAATTGCCACACAAAAAAAAACCTTGAGATACATTTACTCATGTTTCAAATATGTTCTCTTATTTCATCTCCCTAAAATCCCTTGCTAAATAATGAAAGAAAATCTATTTTGTAATGGTTTGCCTCTGAGGAGTTAGATTATTTCAGCAATTTATATATAGAGGAAGAGTAATTTTTATACTTTACTTAAATAAAATCCTCTAAAGCCCTCACAATAATGAACCTAGAATAAATTATAGTTTACACAATTTGAGGACTACATTTTATTCAAAGAATCAACAGAGATATGTGTACAAATTTTTAATTTCATCAAAATCAGATCTTTAACTTCTCTGCTATCTAATGAAAAAACACTTTGCTAAACTTAGAAAAATCAATTGTAAAAATAAACTCTTGCCTGCTGCCCTTGTATATTTTGTGTACTTTTACTAAAACTCTGCCCTGGAATAGAATGCTTTCGAAGACGCGTGGTAAATAATGCTCACCTTCACTTGCATTGCACACTGTAAAATCACGCACCAACCGAGATTTTCCTAAAGAAATTTTGGGTGATGAACAGGAATAAGAACGTGAGCGGACTCCAGAAAGTAGTGATTCCTAAAAGAGAGCATAATAAAGTTTTTTAAAAATGCTACACAGGTCTTGAAAGTATATGTTCACCATGAGTGTTACTAAATCAGCATCTTTGTAAAGGTTTCAACCTGAATATTTCTGTTG